CGGTTCAGCTGTATATCCCCTTACCAGCTTGGCAACAGACTGGAGCGAGAGTTTATTATTATTTATTATTAGTTATTTATTTGTAACAATTTGCAAATATATCTTTCACTCGTAAAGTTTTAACTGAGCTCTGTCTCTACATCACAGGAACAACTTTATGTCCACTGACTGCCTGGAGGGCAGCTAGTGTTTGGAAGGGAGAGGAGAGCTGTGTGCTGCAGCTCACTGTTTTTCCACCGCTGTTTTTGCAAACCTGTTACATACACAAAAAAGGAATATAACTCAAAAAAGCCAAAAAGCATAACACCACCTCTTTAAAACCTGACAACACACATTGATTATTAACTCCCCACCCCCCGTTAAAAATCACTTCAGAAATCTATAAGTGACAGCAAAGACACTGCAGCCATTTTTATTCTGAGCTCTATGTTTCTGACAAGTTATCTATGTTGTCTCATAAAACCAACATCACCTGAGACATCAGACCAAACTGAACTTTACATCCTTCAAAAGTGTAAAGTTCAAAATAGAGCTGATCTGAACCCAAGCTTGACTTGTTTGTCTCCATGCTCACAGCTTCTCAGAGTGACAGGTAAAAGGAAAGCATGGCACATTACATCCGATACAGCCAACTTCCTAAGAAGAAGTAGTACTGAGTGATTGTTTAGATAAGAATCCTGCATATCATGATGTTAGCTGATCAACAGACAGAAACACTGAGTGGGATTGTATGCCAGAGACTCTGGAAAATCCCAGAGGTTAAATGTTACAACAAAACAAAACGGTTTCAGACTTATTTTCAGTGAGGAACTTGGTCTTAGTTGTATTCCAATTGGCACTGAAACAATTTCAGAGTCATTCATTTTAATTTGCTGAAGCCTGTAATCCAGTGTTTAGTTCTGCACTCAGCCCCTGAACATGGATACTGTGTGCAAGCTGAAGACAGAGTTGGTTAAATGAACAATCTGAACAATACTGGTGAGGACACCTGTTCGTTCATGTGGTGTCTGGTAGGTTGTAAGGATCTAATGTTATGGATGTCATGTGCTGTAAATCTGTCAGTCCCTGCTTTTAACTCTATTTTTACCCGCCATGTTGTGCCAGAGAAAGAAGTCCATATGTTGTCAGTGTAATGGACAGTAAAGTTGTCAGATTTGCAGAAGGGATGAGTGAAGGCTGGAGATGTGTGATGGATAGGAAGTGTGGTGGAGACAACTAGGCTAAAAAAAACAAAACACGAATCGTTCTTTACTTTCAAAGGTTAATTTTAATCAGTTTCTGCACTACATGGGGATGAGTTGGTGTTGGAGTTCCCAATATTGTACATGGTTAAGGTTTTACAACTACTAAAAGTTTGAATTCCCTGATATGAGTTTCACTAAGGATCCTGTGTCCCTATGATAGATTCACAAGATTCTAAACATCAAAGATCATAAAGGGGATCTTCAAAAGGAAGGGAAGCTTCCAGCTAATGATAATCCTGTTTATTGATAAGAGGAACTGTCTTTACTCCACCTTCACCAACCACAGAGTCTTGCTCAGAAGCACTTGAGTAAAGCAGGAACATGTTGAACTACTACCCAGGTCTGGAGGACTCTGGATGTGTGTCACCTCTCTGGAGGGTGATTTTGGGTGAGTGTGGTTTGGGGGTTTGCTGATGTGCTGTTGACAGTGTGTTCGGGACAGAGGCAGCTGGGAATGCAGAGCCAGCGGTCCTCTGTGTCTCACTAATAAGGTCTGTCCTGTTGATGGCCGCTACCAGCCACAACCACTTCATTTCTCTCACAAATCTTTAGTTTAGAAGGAGAAATTCTAATGTCTTGTAGGGTATTAAAAAATTGTAATTTAATTTTTTTTGCAACAGCTGTAGATATAACATTACACTCTTTGCTGTTGGTTTGTTATATCTTGCAGATTTCCACTTTAGTTTCTTTCTTTTAGTCCCCATCTCAGTTAGTCTGCTTGCAGGGGAGTTTCACTGCGATTTCCCACAGATTTAATTTTTAGGCTTAGTTGAAATCTAACTAGATTTCTCCTGGTGAAAGATGAATTCTTGTCATGTACAGGTGCTGGTCATATAATTAGAATATCATCAAAAAGTTGATTTATTTCAGTAATTCCATTCAAAAAAGTGAAACTTGGATATTATATTCTTTCATTACACACAGACTGATATATTTCAAATGTTTATTTCATGTAATTGTGATGATTAAAACTGACAACTAATGAAAATCCCAAATTCAGTATCTCAGAAAATAAGAATATTACTTATGACCAATACAAAAAAAAAGGATTTTTAGAAATATTGGCCAACTGAAAAGTATGAACATGAAAAGTATGAGCATGTACAGCACTCAATACTTAGTTGGGGCTCCTTTTGCCTGAATTACAGCAGCAATGCGGCGTGGCATGGAGTCCATCAGTCTATGAGAGCCCAGGTTGCTCTGATAGTGGCCTTCAGCTCTTCTGCATTGTTGGGTCTGGCGTATCGCATCTTCCTCTTCACAATACCCCATAGATTTTCTATAGGGTTAAGATCAGGCCAGTTTGATGGCCAATTAAGAACAGAGATACCATGGTCCTTAAACCAGGTACTGGTAGCTTTGGCACTGTGTGCAGGTGCCAAGTCCTGTTGGAAAATGAAATCTGCATCTCCATAAAGTTGGTCAGCAGCAGGAAGCATGAAGTGCTCTAAAACTTCCTGGTAGACGGCTGCGTTGACCTTGGACCTCAGAAAACACAGTGGACCAACACCAGCAGATGACATGGCACCCCAAACCATCACTGACTGTGGAAACTTTACACTGGACTTCAAGCAACGTGGATTCTGTGCCTCTCCTCTCTTCCTCCAGACTCTGGGACCTTGATTTCCAAAGGAAATGCAAAATTTACTATCAGAGAACATAACTTTGGACCACTCAGCAGCAGTCCAGTCCTTTTTGTCTTTAGCCCAGGCGAGACGCTTCTGACGCTGCGTCTTGTTCAAGAGTGGCTTGACACAAGGAATGCGACAGCTGAAACCCATGTCTTGCATACGTCTGTGTGTGGTGGTTCTTGAAGCACTGACTCCAGCTGCAGTCCACTCTTTGTGAATCTCCCCCACATTTTTGAATGGGTTTTGTTTCACAATCCTCTCCAGGGTGCGGTTATCCCTATTGCTTGTACATGTTTTTCTACCACATCTTTTCCTTTCCTTCGCCTCTCTATTAATGTGCTTGGACACAGAGCTCTGTGAACAGCCAGCCTCTTTAGCAATGACCTTTTGTGTCTTGCCCTCCTTGTGCAAGGTGTCAATGGTCGTCTTTTGGACGGCTGTCAAGTCAGCGGTCTTCCCCATGATTGTGTAGCCTACAGAACTAGACTGAGAGACCATTTAAAGGCCTTTGCAGGTGTTTTGAGTTAATTAGCTGATTAGTGTGTGGCACCAGGTGTCTTCAATATTGAACATTTTCACAATATTCTAATTTTCTGAGATACTGATTTTGGGGTTTTCATTAGTTGTCAGTTATAATCATCAAAATTAAAAGGAATGAACAATTGAAATATATCAGTCTGTGTGGAATGAATGTATACATTATACAAGTTTCACTTTTTGAATGGAATTACTGAAATAAATCAACTTTGATGATATTCTAATTATATGACCAGCGCCTGTTTAGGGGTAAACCGCTTTCTCATCAGGTTGTTACGATGAAGGCTTCAGACAGGGAAAGTATCACTGACAGAGTGGCTGGATAACAGGAAGTCACATCTTCCACATATACAAAAAAACCAAAATGATTTTGATGGTACACTGACTTGTAATAAGGAGAATGGCCCAGTGTGGGTGTTATTGCACATATAGCACAGGAAATCTATCTCAAGAACAGGGAAATGCTTTACAGCATGACGCCATACACTAGCAAGACTCTAAAAGAGCTGAAGAGATGCAGGGCAGATGCCGACGGACCTTCTTGCTGTTGGACGAGTAAGTAATCTTGCTGTGTCTTGTGTTGTCGCACTTGCTAGTTTTCAATCATAAGTAATGTAATCATAATAAATGCACGTGGAGAGCCGTCCTTATTCAAGACAGAAGTTAAATTGTAGTGGCGCCTAATTGCAAGAGACACCAAATCTAACATAGTGTTGCTTTAAACTGACAAATTAGCCTCCAAGTCCAAAAAAAAGTCAGTTTCTGATACTGAAAATGTGACTATAATTTCTGTTCTCTCAGTGCTCACTGACACACAGAAAAAGAAAGTCTACACTTTGCAACTACAATGTCCCTGAATCCGGATTGGTGCACATAAATGGGTGACATCACCTTTTAACCCAACAGTGCCCAGCCCACCTCAAGCCAGTGAGAAGACGTAGAGAAAAAAAAAAAAGAGAACACATCTTTAATGTGAAATGACCAAAACTGTTTTACTATAGAAATGTGTGTTCATGCAGGATCCTATCACTGAAGAAACTGAAAATCAGTTTAGGCCCTTTAAAATAAGTATTGCTTCCAAAATAAGGCTGGGGGTAGGCAAGACATCTGATTACTGACCTACTGCATGTACAGTATGCATATTTAGAGTAACTAAACTCCAGTCACCTGCATAACCTGGTTTCTTAAGTGCATGTAAATTACTCGGATTTATAAACTCACACAGTATAATATGTATCAGATTTGCAAAAGTGATCAAAAACAGGTTTGTTGTTCATGCATTTTGCCAAAAGCTAAACATGTACCGCCGCAGTGCAGCTGAACATGTGATCAGCTCCTTCATGGTAATTAGTCTGGCGTACAAAAAAAATCTTAGCTAATGTTTCAGGTAGACACTGCAGCTATTGTTGTAGCCAAGAGGCACAGAACACCACAGGTGAACAAACAGGACTCAACCTCTCCAAAGCACCTCCAGTGCAAAGATATTTTTTGTTTCGTTCTTAAGCCGCCGTCAAACATGATCTCGGTGCTTGGAGACCAAACCAAACAGCAGATTCAGAGGGGAAAAGGAGAGGGGAGCTCACACACGCACAGATCCATTTTTCATCATTAATGCATTACACAGTTTAAACAGTTGTTTGACTTGGCAGATTGAGAAAGAACATATAATATTCTCACTTACAGAAATGGCCTGTAGGAGTGGCCTTAGAGGAGGCAGGAGATGGAACTTTATTGGTCCCTGTGGAGAGAAACAAGTTATTGCAGCAAACAGATTAGCTTTGAAAGAATTCAGCAAATAAAATATCATAAGCCATAAAACTACATAGATAAAACAGGAATAAATGTGTTGGCTATATCAACATGTGTTGGCTCCAGCACAGACACACAGTAAAGCCTGCAGTCTGCACTCAGACAGTGGTGTGTTAAGCTAAATGCTAACATCTTCATGTAAACATGCTCACAATATTAAAATGCTGATGTTTAGCAGGTTGAATAATGTTTAACATGTTCAACGTCATGTTGAGCTTGTTAGCATACTAAAAAAAAAATAAATAAATAAAAAAGTGAAATTACCTTGTTACTTTTCAAATTACATCTACTGCTTCTCGCCCTGCAATGGACTGGCGTCCTGTCCAGGGTGTACCCCGCCTTTCGCCCGACGTCAGCTGGGATTGGCTCCAGCCCCCCGCGACCCTGTACGCAGGATAAGCGGTTGACGATGGATGGATCTACTGCTTCTCCCTTTTGAAAAATCCAGAACATATGCAAATGTGTGTTGTTTTTACAGTTTAACTGTTGGATACAAGATGTCTCCTCCTTCAATTATTCACGTGTTTGCGCTGGAGGCTTCAAGTTTCACATCACGCTTGTCTAAGTTGCATATTGGACCACGATTGGCTTCCAGACCATTTGTGATGTCACACTCTGTGCAGTGAAGCTCAAACATCCAAGTACCAATAAGCAAAACCCAGTTTTTAAATGGAAAAAGTCCTTTAACAAAGCGTTGGACAAACTGAAACTTTGACCTATAATAGCAGTAGATGAAAATCAAAAGATCACAAGTATAAGTACATGAATATTGGCACCAAATGTCATGCTATCTATCCAGTAGTAGTAGAGAGTTTTCACTCCAAATTATAAACCTCAACCTCACGGTGCTGCTGCAGGAAAAATCTAAGCATCACTAAAGTTAAATAAATAAGGAAGCATTCTCTGGGGAACATGAATGTCTGTACAGAATGTCGTGGAAATTCATCTAATTGTTGTTGATATTTTCTATTAGGACCAAAGTGGTGGACTGGCTGACCAACTGACATTGCCATCCATGGAGCCACCTCCCTAGTATGACTAAAAAACATTTGTCACGTCCTCCTAATGAGGCGTCCTGCTCTTCTCTGGATTTCAGCCACTTACCTTGTAATCACAACCCTCCTTTATTAAGATTCAATCAAACTAAGCGACAGGTATCCGGAATTTGGACCCAAAATGCAGTCACTTCAGACCGAGCAGATACAACTAGTGGGTTTTAAGGAAACAGTTTAAAGAACCTGGTAAGCAGTCCAAGGGAATAACCAATCCAAAACAGGTGTAACAAATTTGGAGTGCAAGAATGAATCCAAAGGTAATCCAAAATATAGGAGAGAAAAAACAGTGTCACGAACACACACAAACAATCCCACAAACACTGAAGCAAAGACTAAATACACAGAAGGTGAGGTGGCAAATGAGGCGCAGGTGAAAACAATCAGACAATCAATACAGACAGGAAACAACTCTAAAAAAAGACACAAGAGGCAGAACACCAAGTAACACAGGAAGTAAAGTACGCAAAAACACAAATCCAAATCTAACAAACTAAAACGGAAAACACGGAACAAATGCATAACACTACGTAATCACAGCAAGTAAAACACACGAGGAAGGACATCAACAGGAATAAAACAGGAAAATACTACATACCAAAAATCACAACATCCTTGTTCAAGAGCCTTTGTTGATGCATGTCACCGTTTGTCTCTTTCCTCTTATATCGTGACATTTCCTGGAAAAACACCTTCCAATTTAATTGGATCATCACCATTTAAGTTGTGTTTTTTTTTTAAAGCGAAACCTTCAAACTTCAGTGACTTTCAGAAATATAAACTTTAAGTCCTTGGTCATTGATTGGTTTCTTAAAATGAGTGGGACCTGTGGGAAATTATATAATATAATGAAAATATAAAGGGTGATTTCCTTTCAATTTAACATTACAGAATGAAATACTGTGTTCAACAATAGCATATGCATCAAACCCACAAGTGGAGTCAAGTACACACTCAATGTTTGCCCACGTGTTGACATGGACTGTGATTGAATAGAAAATAGAATAAGTGGCACTGGGAGGAACCTCCTTCTGATGTGTATTTCCTGGTTTATATAAGGGTCCTGCATGGCTCATAAATCTATTAATACCCCACCACCCATATGAATGCAACAGGGCCTTCAAATGCACCATTCTCCCCACAATGCAACACAACAGAGCCTGTTGTGCACGTACACACGCGAGGGCTTTGTGCGGTTGTTTGTTATCAGCAGGAACCCGGGTCCACATGAGGGAGGAAATGTTACTGGTTCCCACCATAACTCAGCACAGACCTAATCAGTAATGGTAGCTTGATGAATGGATGGCTACAGTACACACAGGCCTTTGTCGCGAGCCGTAAACAATGAGTCAGACTGGTATATCTGACAAGTATAACCACCCTTCAAGGACTTCTTAACATATCCAAATGTGGTCTTATCCCCCCCACCCCTCTGCACACACATCCACCCCCCTCCTCCTCTTTTTAGCGCCAGTCATGTGGTTTTGTGAAATGACAGGCTCCACGTTCTCACACACAGTAAATCAGATACACACACACCAGTATATCACCGTTGGCGTTTACACAGTTTGACCTCCACCGGGCGATTTGCAAATGTCAGAATAGAGAAAGCAGCTATGCAAAAAAAACTACAAAGCAGCAGATCTGTATATGATAACCTCCGTGTTCTCACGCCTTGACTTCACACACACAGAAAATTAAACATCTGTTAGGCCTGTTTGACCTACACAGCGCTGTATTCAAATATCAGTCGAAGAGTCTGGAGTCTGTGCAGGTCAGAGACTTTTATACAGATACAGTACTTATCAAAAATTTAGGCTTAATTAGCTTGAATTTAGCTTAGATGGGGTGACGATGGCGCAGTGAAGAAGACACTCCCTTTGGTATGAGGAACCCGAGTTTGATGACTGTGACACATCCATCAATGTGTCCCTGAGCAAGACACTTAACCCCTCGTTGCCCAATTGGCACTAAGGGGCCTAAAGTGTGCCAAGAAAACATCCCCCACACCATTACACCACCACCAGCAGCCTGCACAGTGGTAACAAGGCATGATGGATCCATGTTCTCATTCTGTTTACGCCAAATTCTGACTCTACCATCTGAATGTCTCAACAGAAATCGAGACTCATCAGACCAGGCAACATTTTTCCAGTCTTCAACTGTCCAATTTTGGTGAGCTCTTGCAAATTGTAGCCTCTTTTTCCTATTTGTAGTGGAGATGAGTTGTACCCGGTGGGGTCTTCTGCTGTTGTAGCCCATCCGCCTCAAGGTTGTGCGTGTTGCGGCTTCACAAATGCTTTGCTGCAAACCTCGGTTGTAACGAGTGGTTATTTCAGTCAAAGTTGCTCTTCTATCAGCTTGAATCAGTCGGCCCATTCTCCTCTAACCTCTAGCATCAACGAGGCATTTTCGCCCACAGGACTGCCGCATACTGGATGTTTTTCCCTTTTCACACCGTTCTTTGTAAACCCTAGAAATGGTTGTGCGTGAAAATCCCAGTAACTGAGCAGATAGTGAAATACTCAGACCGGCCCGTCTGGCACCAACAACCATGCCACGCTCAAAACTGCTTAAATCACCTTTCTTTCCCATTTTGACATTCAGTTTGGAGTTCAGGAGATTGTCTTGACCAGGACCACACCCCTAAATGCATTGAAGCAACTGCCATGTGATTGGTTGATTAGATAATTGCATTAATGAGAAATTGAACAGGTGTTCCTAATAATCCTTTAGGTGAGTGTATATAGCAGTTGTAAGTCGCTTCGGATAAAAGCGTCAGCTAAATGAATAAATGTAAATGTCGATAGCTAACACTGGCAAAACAACTGGCAAAGACAGAACTCTTGACAAATAATCAACTTGCTGGCTGAGACGGTTAGTGAGCAGGACGCTAGAATGTCAAGCTGGGAAAGGATGACCAGCTAGCTTTGAGGCATTTTTTAGCAACACTAACGACACTTTTGACTTTTGGCACCATTGGCTCAGTTTCTATGGAATCCCAATATCTCAACTTTTCATCTCTCACCAACAGATCAAATATTTCACTGTTCAACACTGTAACTCAGTGGTCACCAACTGGCGGACTCTGGTCCAAAACCGGACAGCAAAGCCTTTTGACACAACTGGGAAATATATATTAATATACAATAAAGTTGAAGGAAATTACATTTATTCATTTAGCGACTCACAATTGCTATATCTGTCAGAGCAGAGGTCGCATGCCTCACCCCCCCCCCCCCGCCAGTGTAGCTACCTTTGCTCTACATCAGCTCTTGCATGCACTCCATCCGACACATGCTCAAAATTAGTAGTTTCACTATGTGTCTGAACATAATCAGCCAGAGTCTGGGAAAAAATGAGCCCTCAGGTGTTAATTTTAAAGTGGGTGGTTTGGTTCTCTGCTTCTCCCTGCATAAAATAAATTAAAATGTTTCGCCATACTGGTGTGTGTGTATCATAGTTATTAAGACACACCTTAAATCAAACAGCCCTTTGATTTCAGCACAAGGCAGAGAGCCACACCACAAATCAAACTCACATATCATCATCATATTTACATAAAGTGAGATTAAAAGGTTGACCCTCATTCTGCTGATCAATCAAACATAGCATTTTATACTCATTTTAGCAAATTAAAATCACCATAAACCCATAACCATATTCCCCTGCTCAGCCAATTTGTCTCAACAACATGTACAAAATGCTGCAACAAATCTTTTTAGTTTACAATGCCATTAGTTATGTGATGTTACAAGGAGCTTTAAAACCAAAAGCGCTTTTGAATATTTCTGAGGCATCAAAACCACCGATCCAAACATCTAATCTTCCTCTAATTTCACAGTGTTGAAAGTGACACGCAGCAACAAGTACTAGATGTGTCCTGGTAGCTGGAGTTTATTACTTTTGAAGAATGTGTAATTTTGTCTCAGAAAAGTCTTCACCTCTTGAATGACATGAGAAATTATTTTTTTAATATATACATTTCTTCAAAGAGAACATTTTCATTTTACAATTTGATAAATCCATTAGCTGAAAAAGCTTTTTCTAATTCAAAGCTTAAGTTATTTAAGCCTGTGTTCCATTAGCTTCAGCCAGACTTGCTAAAATTCTTTTCCAAGTTAACCACAATAAAACAATGATCATTTTGTTAGACTTCAACAACAATGTTTCTGATCAGGTTTCGATAGTATGCACATAGCTAAGACAAGCCTGTTCTCATTCCTACAGTGTCAAATTGCTACGCTTCATCAAACCATACTATTTTCCTAAATTTAACCAAATTGCTCATTTCACAACCATCGGAGCCCCACACCAACAAAAATGACGCTAAAAAGTATACAGGGCATTAAAAAGCGACACTGGGGGTGTTGACCAAGGGTCCATAAGTGACCCCCTGGGATGAGAACGGGTTGCAGCCACACGTGGCAGCTGTCTTGTTGGTAGCTAACAAAACAATTGTTGTATCTCAGTTGGAAATCGCACTGATCTTGTGGACAGAAAACTCTGGGAACATTTGTTTTTCAGGTTTTGATTTCAAGGTTTTTCAGTGAGACCAAGGGAAGAAACCATATTGTGGAAAAGAACGAGTAGAACAGAAAGCTAGCGGGAGGAGATCTAAAGGTCAGTGTTAAAGTTTGAAAGGATGAATTTAAGCCGCAGGTTTTAGGCCAATGTGGTCCAGTGAAAATGTGAACATTGTCAGATCCAAAGGTACTTTATTGTCACATACACATAGCGAAATATATTTTCCGCATTTAGCCCATCACTCAAGGGAGCAGTGGGAAGCCGCTGTGCAGCGCCCGGGGACCAACTCCAGAGTTTTATCAGTCACTGGTCAAAGGCACTGGCTGAAGAACCTGACATGTTTTTGATGGCGGGGGAAACCGGAGCACACCCATGCAGACACGCATGAAAGGCCGGGGTGACCGGGGTTTGAACCTTGAACCCGGGATATTCTTGCTCTTGCAGTGCTATCCACTGGACCACCGTGCCGCCCAACTGTTGCCATGACAACTAAGCAATCTCCATTTGCTGAGGATGATCCTGTGATTTAATCCAAAGCTCCACAACAGCAAGTAAATGGACAAAACATTAAAAATGACTCATTGTGAGACATCTTGACGTGTTTGAATCCCTTTTTAGGGTCACAGAGCTTCTCTCAGCATGCAGTGACCTAAACATTTTCAACAGGCTGACAGTCCATCTCAGAGCTGACTCCGAGCAGAGACATGCCACTCAATCACATCCGCAATACAACTCTACGGGGAAATCCCGTAACGGCATAGATGGCGGTTATCCGACAACTACATAAATACATTTTTAAC